CATATTTCTCTCCATTGGCACAGCACCTGATATGTGAAGTACACTATGTGTAAATGACTGTGAACCTGCAGTGACTTGAATGGCTGTTAACGACTTCTAAACAGACACATTTCCATTTGAAAAGGAGGCTTTTAGTGCGACTTGTTATTTACTGTCACCTAAATGGAATCTGTCAATGCTCTAAATGCAGTATTCTCTATACCTAAAGAATCTTATCTCGAATCTCGATTCAAAAGCTCGATTCAACTCGAGCTTTTGAATTGCCCTTAATGACGAGTTTCCTCTCTTACTTTTCAGCTGCAGACAGTTTCTTTCAGGTTTGGTCTCCGCGCTTCTATATATAGACAAACATTTACATGCCATGTAAAAGAACATTCACAGTTCTGCTTTACACACACTTGTAAACACAAAGCAAATAAAATGTAGACTACAATTTAATGACAGTTAAAAGAAAAGTTCATAAGCAGGTAAATGGTTCTCTGCTTATTTATTATGTTTGTATATTGGTAAAAAAAAACAAAAAACCCCCAAAAAAAGCAGATGCATGATCAACCACACATCAGGCAAACGCACATGCATGTGGTCACACACACACACACACACACACACACACACACACACACACACACACACACACACACCAGCCCTTTTCCTGTGGGTTCTGCTTCCTGCATTTGTAGAGCACACATCAGACGCGTCTCTGCCGCTGAAAACAGATATGAGTGTAATTACATTAAGAGTCTCATTTCATATTGATCCGTCTGCACAAATAGCCGTCTGAACAAGCCGAACAAGATTATTTAATGTTATTTATGTTCTTTTTATTTCCCCTGGGGTTCAGGGTCACACAGCAGAGAGGTGAGGAGGAGCGCAGACAACACAACACTGTCATCTGCTGAGCATCTGAAACAAACAAAAAAAAAAATTTAAAAAACAGTTGTGAGGGGACAGTAACACTTTTTTGGACTACATGATGATTGCAGGAAACACAAACTCAGGTAGTACACCAGAATTTTCAATTCATGTTTTAACTGTAAAATGTGTTCAGTTGAAAATATTTTGTCTTCATTTTGAAAGCACAACTATGACTGGAAGTTCACAGCCAGAGACTCTGTGATCATTCAAACATCTTTTTCCTCATGAAATGAAATTCCTCTCTGTGTTCATTTAAGCAGAGGTGCTTCACTTTTGGATTGTAGCAGCTTTTCTAGTCAAGTTTGGCCATTAAAAACCCTTTGTAATTGAATAAAATAATTTAATTTGACGTCATCTTCATGACTAATGATACAACTGCCTTTGCGCCTATGAAACATCACCAGATGTGTGTGTGTGTGTGTGTGTGTGTGTGTGTGTGTGTGTGTGTGTGTGTGTGTGTGTGTCAGCGTGCATTCACAATTGTACAGAATGAATCATGCCATACAAGTGTGTAATAGACTGTTTTGTGAGGCTGTGTGAGCGTTTGTGTGTCAGTGTAGTGTGTTTACAACTCTACGTGTGCACTCAAGTGAATCTGAAGGTATGTCTGTGAAGCTGTTTGAAGCAGTGCTTGCAGCGAGGCCTGTAACGGTAGAAATTGTTAGACTTAATGACTTTTGCTCTTACACTTAAGTCATCAGCACAAACTTAATCCTGCAGGCTAAATATGAGCCAGAGCTAAAAATAGCCCCTGTAGCTACAGTAACGTGCGTGGTAGGATATGGTTATCTGGTAGATGATGATGAAGAAAAGACCAAGAGAAGGAAGGGGGAGGAAGGAGAGATTAGTGAGAAAAGAGGTACCATAAAATGAGACATTTATACGACAGTTTTTATATTTTAACGAAGCCGAGAATGATAAAAACTACTCTTCAACATTAAAGGTAAAGTGTTTGATGGGAATACTGACATACTGTAAACCATTCCTACCAATGCTTAATGTCTTGCTTAGGTTAACAAACATTGTGTTTTGGGGATATATTTGAAAACACTGAATTTTTGTTCAATTGTTTTCATATCTGGGAAGCAGGTGGCTTCTTTGGAAACTCTCACAACTGTTTGTATGTAGATTTGATGTAGAAAGGAAGGGCAGGTTTGCACATTGAGACAGGCAGACAGACGAATGGACACACATTCAGTGGGTTCATAGTCTAAATAAAAAGACAGTGAAGGCTAATATAGGATTTAGAATTAGATTAGAGACAAAGAGAGCATCTAGCTCTGTCGTTAATGCTGTCTGTCCACAAGCTCTAATTATAACTAAACTCACTGCCCTGTTTGTCCCTTACTCCCTCTCCATCCCCTGTTACTAACCCCACACAATGCTTCACAATCTGAACAAAGCTTCCCTGAGGCCCCTAATCTAATAGAGCAGTCTCAACAAGACATCCACATAAACACACACCCACCAGCCAACAGCGAGGGAGGGGCTGAGTCGGGGGGGGGGGGGGGGGGGGGGGGAGGCAAAACAGCAAAACAGTAGCCTGCTTTATCTTATCTGGAGAGTCAGTGGGAAAATTATACTCCACCATTACAGAGGCAAATCCAAAATCCAACGTGCNGGGGGGGGGTGATGGAGAAAAAGATGGCAGGTCAGATTAAGGCGATAAATTGGACACTGAGTGAAGAATGACAGAGAGAGAGAGAGCGCTTTTCTTTTCCATGTCACCAAGGGCTGGTGGTGTGATGTTCGTCATGAATGAGCACTGCTGGGACCTCATTGTTCTGTTCTTCGTGTGTGTGTGTGTGTGTGTGTGTGTGTGTGTGTGTGTGTGTGTGTGTGTGTGTGCGCGTGTGCGTGCCCATCTGCTGCAACCCCCTTTAGGGCCCAGTCTGTTTTATCTGGACTCTGGTCTGTGTGAGAGTGCCCACCCTCTGATCCTGCATTGGAGTTAACACTCATCAAGCAGCGTATTGATTTTGGGGGGCTGGTGAACATAGAGGAGAAGCAGACAATGGTGCAGAGCTGTGTAAGACAAGCAAGCACAATATATCCTAGGATGTAAATGCAAAAGGTCACAAGGAGCTAATGTTCAAATTGCACCAACCACTGACGTGTGTGTGGGTGTGTGGCTCTGTCGTCAATCAGTCAAACAGCAAACATCTGAATGCTTTTTTTGTACTGTAGGATGCTGTGTATATGCTGACATACTTTAACCATTGTTTTTATTATCAAGACAGAAAATGCAATGTTTTTTGTTTTTTTTAGTAAATATGTCAAACCTGAAAAGTGAGCAGCTCTCAAGGAATACCTCAGTTACATGAAATGCTGCAAATTGACATCAGTGTTGCAAAACCAGCAGTGCTGAGCAATTTTTACAGACTTTCAATAAGCTTTGAACAGTGGAAGAGAGAATATGACATTCGTGACTCATTTTGTTGAGAGAAAACAAACAGAAGTAAATTCACATTGACAGGACATCTTTTTAAACCATCATTCCCTAAATTGGATGTTTTTTGTTTTCGTCCATATTAAACCAGGATCAAAGATACAGGTCACATCAGACATTTTATTTGTAGCGGCCTGGCTCTTGCCACAGTAGTTAGTGTCAGCGAGGGGTTTTATATAATGCTGTCGTCTATCAGAGGGAGATGAGGGAAGTGAAGAGACAGCCCGTCCGAGACTCCAGGCTGCAGCCGTGCTCAGACACACAAACACACACACACACTCACACACACACACACACCACAGGGTCGTGTTTTCTATCACCCCGTCTTTTGAATATGCTCCTCCCTCTCCTGACCTGTCTATACAGACTGCCCAGACATCTTAAACCACCAGGACAGGGGTAAGTGCAGTGATGAGACCAATCACAGTCTGCCCCAGAGTCCTGCTTCAACCAATTAGAATCCAGGAACTTCCCTGTCAAGGCCAGTCACATCTAAGAATTGCTGTGCAGCATATTAAATCATTCCCTTGTTTTTATGCTACCAATGGATGTTTTGCAGAAGTTTTTCAAAATAATTGCATGTTCCAGATAAAATACAAGGCCATTTAACAGTGCAAAGCCAAACATTCAGTATCTAATAGACCCATGTTATAGGCCAAACTAATCACTGAATGACCTTCTAATCCTGAAATTCAAAAACATAGCAGTCAAGAGTTTTTCTTGACATCATCGCAGCCACTTTAATGCCACAGCACAACTTGAGGATTCAGACAGCAGGAGATGAAGCATGGTCTACTTAAGTGCTAGCAGCAGAGGGGGTTGTATGAGTGAGACTTCACTGAGTGTGGTTCCTTCTGTGCAACCCACGAGAGACAGCACTGACTTATTGAATGCCAAGACAATCGCAGAATATGTGAATATGTGAGCATTGAGCTCCACGTCACTCTGTTTCAGTAAAGGTTGAGCCTGGCCTGTGGAGGATGAGTTTGGCCTCCTTCTATCTGAAGGAGTCATTAATGTCAGCTCACAATGCAATTGAACCAGAATTTGGATCATTTGTATAAATGTAAGTTAGGTAAATTAAGCCTTGGGCTTGATTCAAAAAATGATCTCAATTAAAGTGCATTGTTTTTCTTATTTACCTGTTGCTATCGGTGTTTTGAGCAGAAATTTTGTGGACAGCAGCCAGACCTCGAGCCAATGAAAAATTTACTGGACTTTGGTGGTTTGTCCAGGTTTGAAACTTTTTTAGATGTTTAGATATTCCAATAAATTTGATTCCAAATGTAAAGAGTGTGTGAGGTAACTTTTGAAAGAAGAAATAACACATTGTTCTTTTTAGAAATGACAAGTTGAATTCATTAGCCATAAAACGCATTGCTCAATTCAGTACACTCAGGTTTTGCTGCTACAGTCCCACTTGGTCTGGTATGACCACAAACTATTTTAGCAAGCTTTAGATAAATAATGTAAAATAGACATAACTGGGTCAGTACACTAACCTGATTGACTTGATTGTTTTCTACTTGTGCTACTCTTGCACTGTGTATTTACCTTTATCTCATAAATAACACTTGCTGTTTAGCAAAAGCTACATAGTGACGCTTTAAAAACTTACTTCTGTTGTGTCTTATAGTGGAGCTGGATGCGGAGCACCCACAGAGAGTCCCGGGGGCGGAACAGGGAGGGGTCCCGCCCCCCCAGGTCAAGCTGAAAGACAGGCAGAAGTTCTTTGAGGAGGCCTTCCAGCAAGACATGGAGCAGTACCTGTCTACTGGCTACCTGCAGATCGCTGAGAGGAGAGGTGAGCAGGAGGAGTGGGTGAAGTTCTTCTCAGAGGTCCCAGTCGTGCTCTGTGATTATATTCAAACAGCTTGAAATTTAGCATTTCTTGTGATCTGACGCCTGCAGAGTTGAAAGGAAAATGTTGAGGGGTTGAAGTTTAGGTAATGGTATCTGTAACCTATTCAAGGGTGAATGCAAAGCTATCCAGCATTCAAATGAATTAATTCCAGACTTCTGATACCATCAACTGAAACCTCCACACTTCAACTGCATATCACAAGATTGAGCCATAATAGCTTTCTGCAGCGAGGCTCCACACTCTGAGAGCCTGTTGCTAAATACACAAGCAGATCCATTACTTTGAAAAATGCCACCACACCATACATATGTAGATTTCCACTGGGAATGTAATATAATCCTGCTCCAGTTTACCCCATGTATTGCTGCCAAAAGTCTGTGCTAAAATACCCAAAGGATGTGCTGAAATGAGGGACTGCAAAAGAGATATAACCTGCACTGGAAGATGTATTGGGCTCTAACAGGCCCAGCGTTTGTAATGTGATTTTTCTTCTTCTTTTACTCATCTGTCCTCCTCACTTAATCCTCTGGAAATGGCTTATTAGAGAGGATTGTAGAGCAGCGAGGAAAGAGAGATTTAAAGACAGGAGAGGGAGAGAATGCAAGAGACTTCACTGTCACTCAAAATGGCTTTTTATCAATCAGTGTTTTTTATAATGAACCCCCACGACGAAAACAATCACCATAGCATGGAGTGAGATGCAGTGAGTGAAATTTTCACAGTTCATTATCCAGAGATTTGTCAGAATTATGCGTGTCCACCATTCATTCATGGTAAAAACAAAGTGGAGATGTTTACATTTCGGCTTCACATGTCAAATGATGTGATTCACAGACCAGAGACTAACATGGGCTTCAAGACTTAAATCCACAGCAGACGGATTCGTCATAATTGCTTTAAGAGTGTTTGCATTCATTTACAGAGGAGGCTTGAATTATTATTCTGGTGAAACACATCTGAAAATAAGGGCCACTCTGTGAGAGCTAAATTACTCGGCACACTGCAAGTCATTATCCTCCACACAGCCACAAATCTCTACAGCAGGGCGGCGCCACTGAGGAGCAAAAATACAGCGGGGGGACACGGAGAAAGAGGGGAGAGAAAGACAGAATTAAACCAAGAGGAAACTGTCAAGGAAGAGAGAGAAAGGGCTGAGGATGTCATAAGCCACTGAGCCATCAAAAGCCGGTCTCAAGGGTACAAATTCTCTCACACACAAACACACACAAACACACACACACAAACATATATATATATANGAGAGGGAGAGAATGCAAGAGACTTCACTGTCACTCAAAATGGCTTTTTATCAATCAGTGTTTTTTATAATGAACCCCCACGACGAAAACAATCACCATAGCATGGAGTGAGATGCAGTGAGTGAAATTTTCACAGTTCATTATCCAGAGATTTGTCAGAATTATGCGTGTCCACCATTCATTCATGGTAAAAACAAAGTGGAGATGTTTACATTTCGGCTTCACATGTCAAATGATGTGATTCACAGACCAGAGACTAACATGGGCTTCAAGACTTAAATCCACAGCAGACGGATTCGTCATAATTGCTTTAAGAGTGTTTGCATTCATTTACAGAGGAGGCTTGAATTATTATTCTGGTGAAACACATCTGAAAATAAGGGCCACTCTGTGAGAGCTAAATTACTCGGCACACTGCAAGTCATTATCCTCCACACAGCCACAAATCTCTACAGCAGGGCGGCGCCACTGAGGAGCAAAAATACAGCGGGGGGACACGGAGAAAGAGGGGAGAGAAAGACAGAATTAAACCAAGAGGAAACTGTCAAGGAAGAGAGAGAAAGGGCTGAGGATGTCATAAGCCACTGAGCCATCAAAAGCCGGTCTCAAGGGTACAAATTCTCTCACACACAAACACACACAAACACACACACACAAACATATATATATATATATATATATATATATATATATACTCTGCAATCTCACTGCAGGCAAAAACAGTCCTTCCCAGCAGGAGAACCTTTTAGCAAGGTCATAGTGGGGTTAAAAGAAGAACATGTTAGAGGCAGTCACATGGAAATAATGTTCTCAATGCAGTGCTTTCTGGACCACAGTGTTGGTTTAGGTATTTGTGTGTGTGTGTTTGTGTGTGTGTGTGTGTGTGTGTGTGTGTGTGTGTTTGTGTGTGTGTGTGTGTGTGTATATGTATACATGATTTTGTGTTTGTGTGCATGCACACACATTTGTTTATTTTTGTTCATGTGCTGGAAACACAGCTCCATTTGGGGCTGAAAACTGAGTCAACATCCTCCATCCTATGTTTTATGAGGCTGAATAGCTGCTGTGTGGTGGTAATTGCATAGCTGACAGGCGAGATATGGAAATACATATGAGAAGAGGCTGCACACTGAGGAGTCATTAGTGAGCATTAGACCCTAGTTTCTCCAAAGATGTGTCACAGAAAACACCACTGCTGTCTCCACAGAGAAAGAGGAGAATGTGTGTGCAGGAGCGATTTTATGTGTGTAAGTTAAATACACAACATCTCCATTTGTTTATGTATTTGCGTTTCATTCGTTCAGGTTTTTGTGTTTATGCTTTTAGAATCAGTTTATATGTTTGTAAAATACATCTGTGGACATTCAGATGAATTGCCAGAGTTGAGGCCTTTGAAAATATGACCCGTGTGTGTGTGTGTGTGTGTGTGTGTGTGTGTGTGTGTGTGTGTGTGTGTGTGTGTGTGTGTGTGTGTGTGTGTGTGATGATTTTTGTGATGTGTGTTGCTGTTGTAAGGACAGGGAGACTTTTGGGGGCAGTCTCCTTGTGAAATAATACTCCCCTTCTTTCTCTCTCTCTTCACTCTCTCTTCTGCTCTCCCTCCCTGTGCCGCCTTCCTCTGCTCTCCTCATTTCCTTGAGGTACGGTAGCCAATGGCATCTTTTCTCACTGCTGTGCTCCGGCCAATCATTTCCCTTCTTCCTTTTATGCTCGCAAAGCTAACCCCCACCCACCCACCCTGCGCTCCCCTCCTTCCATCCCCACAGTGCACTGACTGGCTGTTTGTGACGCATGCAGCACATCAAATGATAGTGAACAGGCTGGGGGGTGGGGGGGTTGTACACCTGCAAGGTGGTGAATCCAGGACTGTGGTAGTTAATGTATGAGCTGGCGTGTAGCAGGGTTTCCAATGATTTTGTACTTTCCTGCCTATAAAACAAGAAGATAATTTGCCAGTTTTAATGCTAGTTCAGCCACATTCATAGAGAAAATAAGAGACTGGTTGGGTGTGTTGAGTTGGCTTTCTTCCTTTGCCTCGTCACATGTCAGAAAAGTTAAGGGGATAATTTAGAATCAAACACAATACAATCACTGTCATGCTTAATATAACATTCATTTAAGTTCAGTCTGTCTGGTTTTCACCTGTTCTCTGTATTGTATTGTTGTTGCTTCTAAATGTTCCAAACTCACTTAATGGACTGGTTCTGGCTTCATTGGTCAACCTTTCGTTCCATTGTATATTAATGCAATTTTAAGGTGTTTTACAGAAGCCAAGGCTTGAAACGTACAGGTGGGTTCATCACTTAGCATCATTCACCTCTTAAGGGTCATCCCATTATTTTTAACCGGCAAAAAGTAGATATGCACCTTTGACTTCTTTATATCTCAGCTGAAATCTGTCCACTTAAAGGACGGGCTCATATTTTTTCATGTCTGTCTTAAAGCACTGCTCACCATGCCCGTATGTACATCAAGAGTGTTGCAGTTGTTCCTCCTCTCCAACCTGGCTGTGAAAATTTCCCTTCCTCATGCATTACCAATGTAAGTGATGAGGGAGAAAGACAAATTAGTTAAATCAAGTATGTATCAACCAAAGTTACTCTTTGTGTCTTCTTTGGACTGCACAGTGACTAATTGCTCTTTCAATGTACATGTGGGCGTGCAAATATTAAGATAAACTTGAAAAAATGAGAATCTTTCCTTTTAATGATATTGTAGGTGTTGCTTGTCGCCTTCATACACAGCTTCCTACACACAGTGACACCTGCCAATCCATTATTTATGGTAATGCTTTGGATCATAAGGTAAACAAAATCTTCCATGTACACAAGCTTACCCATTTCAAATGCCATCAGCTTCAATGTGCCCATTTGCTTCTGCTTGGCAAATTTTGGAGTGAAATAAAAAGCGCCTCTCTTCCTGGACTCAGCCCCTTGCTGCTGCCTTCTGAATGCTCCAGTCTCGTGTGAAGCTAATAACTCGTTGTCCCATGATGTATCTAGGGCCAATAGGAAGCATGTCATCCATGGAGGTGAACGTGGACATGCTGGAGCAGATGGATCTGATGGATATGTCTGACCACGAGGCCCTGGATGTGTTTCTGCACTCTGGGGGAGAGGACAACAGCGCTGCATCACCTGTCACAGGTAGGTGAACACACACACACACACACACACCAACACACACACACACACACACACACACACACACACACACACACACAATTTTAAATAATAATAATGCACAGACAACATTTAATTACAGAACTAAAATAACTTTCTACAGCTAAGTCGCATCAAAAAATGAGATGAAGCAGGAGTATGTGCCTCAGAAGAGTGACAAGCATAATGTTTAGATGTGATGCACCAACACCATCTGTCCACATCTGCTTGGGAAATGTCTTTTTACAGTGAACGACCTACAGCGTCTCGCTGACAGCTCGTCTTTGTCTAAAAATAACCGACTGCTACTCTAATGCAAATCTCTGCTATAGTTCACGTCAGTCGGCAACTGAGCTTGGACAAAATTCTAGCAAATTTAAACAAAAGCTATGTAGTAATTCCAACAACTTGAACAGATCCATAGATCTCTGCTTTTCTTTGCAGCTGTTGGCCTGAGATATCAAATAAATAATGAATAATAATAAATAATAGAATTGTTTGGGGTTTTTAAGAGAAAAGGATACAATTCCCCACAGACTGATACAAACCATTAACACGAGAGGAGTGTGTATCTGCCAGAACAACAGCAGAATTATTTATCCACCTACCTACCATCCTACCAACCAAAGCTGGTATGTATCTTATCTTTTAAACCAAGGGGTCATTCAATGTCAAATGAACAGAGACCTCCCGACAGACCGTCTTTGATTTGGTTCATGCTTTATGTCTTTAACCTCTAAAATGATTGGCCCATAGCTGCATATTTGCAAAGTTATGACTTGCTGAAAATTCTATGACAAAATTATTTTGTGTTTTGGAGCCCACTCTATCTTCACACTGAGCAACAGAAGAGCTTTTAAATTTCTATATATAATCCTCATGTTATAGTGCTTTCATAGCAAACAGGTGCAAGTCTGAAACATTTTGATTATGAGCCATTAAAAATGGAAAAAAGAAAAAAAGGTTTTCACACCTGTGCATAATGCCAATATATGACGAAGTCTACCCTAAAAGCAATCATACCACTGAAAAGAACATGTTTTAACTAGTAAATGTACAAAATACATAAATGTAATAAATAACAAGTTTGTACATTGAACCAAACTGTATTAAGGTATCAAACATGGTTTTCACAGGTTTGGGTGTTTGTTTCCTTCCTCTGTTTGCTTGGATTTTGTTTAGTTACACACATGCTGTTTACATTGCCATGTGCTTCTGTTCCTTACATCTGTCTCCACTCCTTACTCCTTATCCTTATTCTGTTTATTAATTGTCCAATGATGTTTCCCCTGTTTGGTTCTCATTGTGTATTTAAGGCCTTGTGTTAATGTTGGTCTGTGTTGATTTCCATGTAACGTGGCTTGATCTTTGGCACCATGCTCCATAGGAGAAATGCTCAGTTGTACAGATTATGTAAAAAATCTCAATTCATTTTTTTATTTTTGGGATTTCTATTGATTTGACATGGAATTAACCCCAAAGTCTGAAGTTATCTAAGTGACTCCTCTTTCCCTCAGGTCCTGATGTTGAGTCCTTCACCACAGAGATCAGTCTCCAGGTTCCCACCCAGGCTGAGCTACGCCACAAGCTTTCCTCCCTTTCATCCACCTGCACTGACTCAGCCAGCCAGGACACGGAGGCCGGGGAGGATGATGAGGATGATGATGAGGAGGAGACTGAGCAAGGAGGAGGAGGAGGAGGTGGTGGTGTTGGAGGAGGATCGGGGGGAGGAGGAAGGCGGAGACGGCCGCCGGTGGTGGTGACCCTGGATGAAGACGAGGTGCACCCGGATACAGCGCTGGTGGACAGGGTGGAGCAAGAGGACCATACCAGCAAAGACTGTGAGGAGAGCAGGCAGAAGGTTTGAGGAGAGCTGGACTGGATTTAAACACAAACACACAAACATACAGAGCTGCCAAATCAAACTCGGATACCTAACAATATTGGCTTCCTTCTCAAATTCCTTTCATACTGAAGAAAAGTATATGAAAGAAAATACACTGAGGTTGCACTAACTGCCACATGACCTTGCCTTAAAACACCTCTGAGTTTTCAATTCTAATTGAATCCTGTCAAATAGGTTTGAGTTCCCTTTAGCATAATAGCATTGAATGACTTAACATGCACATTAATAGTTTGGCATTATTCAGAGAATGCTCTAATATTCTGTTTCTGTGTTTGTGCATGTTGAGACCAGGAGATGCCTGTTACTGATCAGTGACGGGGACATAAACAAGCATACACTAAAATCATCCATTTGTCCCTTTCAGGTAGCAGCTTGTCAGGCTATGTGCTAACACTTTAGCATTCACTGTGCTGTTCTTATATGACCTGAACTTTGGTGAAACCTCTGCAGAACATAAAGATATGATGGTGGTTTGAACTACCACATCCCTGCCAAAATGAAGAGGCTATCACCAGCTCTGCCAGGTTAATAACATTTTATTTTTAAAGTAGAATAAGATTATAATCACTAAAAGTGTGTGTAATTTGGACTTTCTTAATGTTGTATGCCTTTGATCATTCAAAGGATCCATTCACCCAAATTTCGAAAAATCACAATTTCTCACTTATCTCTAGACGAGCAGATAGTTTCCCGGGTTTTGACATGTGCGGTTTGTGTTGCGTCCTTTTTTCGACAAACAATATTCTGTTTCTTGTCCTTAGGCCAAATAAACTTTTTTTTTTTTGATATTGCAAAACCTGTGCTAGTAAAATCTACCATGACTATTCATAAATTGGGTGAACAGACCCTTTAATACAGTTAATGCTGAACAGTTAGGACTAATGACCTGCAGGGGCCACATGGATGAATTTTTCAGGACTTTATGGATAAGCTGAATCCCCAAAGCTTCTTGCATTCCTTTGGCTGCACAAGATTCTGCAATATTTTAAATGTATACTACCAATTAGATAATACTTTTGCGCCCTTGGCTTTGATAAACATGGCATGCCGTCACCTGGCAGTGGGTTCAGGTAGCAGGATATCAATGATTTAACACAAACAATCACATGCAGGAGAGTTGCCCTCTGGAATTCATTTTACCAGTAATATTTGGGCGAACTTCTCCTTAGGACCAAATCGATATTTGGACTGTGCGCTATGCACTGGATGACACCCAGAAGGTTTAACTGTATCCAGATCTTTTTTTTCTTTTTTTGTACAGAAATGTTGACGTTTGTGCAATGTGACAGCATTACTCATTCCTTTCTTTTCCCCTGCCTACAGTTTCTGACTTGTTGGTAATAAATGTTTCTCCCCCAGCATTGTTTAATTTTCATCTAAGCATTTCAGGAACAAGTTAAAGAGTGAAATGTGAGCAGGATTTAGGGTTTGAGCATGTTAACAGTCCCTGTGCGCTCACTCTTGATTTACAGTCCTGCCTGAGCTCTTTACAAATGGAAAGCTGACACGGCGAGGGAACGGATGGATGGATGGAGGGATTCAGCAGGAGCGAAGAAAGGGTCTGAAATACAGCAGTTTTTCTCTTGGAGAATATTTTACTTTGTATATATTCATTATTACAGTTAAATGTTTTTTCAACTAAAAATTAAGGAAAAGCAGTACTAGTGTTATGCTGAGAGTAAATGGCATTTGAAGGCTGAGAGTGGATGTGTCAAAGTGTTCACTGTGAATAGTAAACAGCTGGTGTCGATGCGTGACTCTCAATCGAGTACACTTTAATTAAGGTTATGAAGAACTACAGGGCCCTCCAATAGTTTGCATGTACAATGTGTGGCGAGTGAATAGACTGATAAGCCCTGTGTTAAATGAACAGAAAAGCACTTCTAATATCCTGCTGCAGCTGCTGCTGCTTCCTGTGGACCTTGATAATGTCATGGTGCAGCCTGTTTAAATCTCTTACATATGGATAATAATTTCACTGCGGTGTCTTGACATTTGTCTTGTTTTAAAAGGGACAGTTCACCCAAATTACAAAAAAAACATTTTCTTATTTGCCTCCAGTGATATCTATTTTTGATTTCTGCCTCAATCCCAATAGTGTTTTTTATTTATATATATATAAAATTATTAAAGTAGTACTCAGTTAATCAATTAGTCCAGTTGCCCAGTTCCCAGAGTCCAAGGTGATACTTTAATTTACTCATTTTATCTGAAAACAGTCTAAAAATATTGACGTTATAATTTAAGAAGCCTGAAAAACCTGCAAATATTGACATGCGAGAAGCTGGAACCGTTTAATTTTTGGCATTTTGCATGAAAAAATCATTTAAATGATTGTTTATTAAAATAGCTGACAATCAGTTTTCTGTCAATCCATTAATCTTTTTAGCTCTAGGTTGGATACCATAAGAGGTAAGTGAGGAAATGATTTTGTAATATATTTAAAATGACCCTTTAATGCTACTCGACTTCCCCGTATGAGAACATGAAATCTAAATGATGAAACTGTTCAAACCATTTATTCTTGAAGTCATGTCAGAAGTCTGCACACACAGAGACACACGAGCAGGTTGGAAAGAAATGACAGTGAATTGTCGGTAAGTTTTTATTAAACCTTAAGTACAAACTGCAAAAGTAAAAAACTGTCAATATAACCAACATGAGACTCTCTTTCCGAGTGGAGGGAAAGGCCGAGATGCGGCACTAATAAATTAAGTCACCAGAGACCCCACTGTGAGCAAGTATTTTATACTGTAGAAAATGGAAGAAACAAACAAACAATAAAAGAACTGAAAAGCAAACAAAAAAAAATCCCATCAGAATAAAATATATTGTAAGGCCATAAAAACTTGACAACCACTTTTTTTATGTTGAAAACACCCGACTTGGTATTTCATTAAATAGTCCTAACACAGTTCAGTCTTCTGCGAGGGACGACAACCAACAAACTGGATTATAGGATTTTTCCTTGACAGTCACCACTGGCAAGCTCAGTGCAACATGAGTAGCTACTACATTTTTGTTGAATTTTCAGTAATGAAAATGTAAAAACCCATTTTTTTTTTTTTTTAGTGAACATATCTTTTTTCCCTTTTCTTTAAAAAAGTAAAGCTAAACAAACAAAACTAGGTTGGGGGCAGTCGTTGGCTACTCAATATCTTCTTTCTTAGTGATATAAGCAGCACTTAAAATTTTTATACACGTTTACCAGAGCAACCCTGTAAGCATCAAACTCACACGGATGAAGAAAGGGAAATGTAAGGCTTTTTCTTCATCAAGCACTCTCCTCTGGAACTTTGTCTCTCTTCTCTTTATTCCTTCCTTCCTTTCTTTCTTCCTTAACCCCAGAAAAAGGCTCAAGTATTTAAAGAAATTTACAGGATTATGTACAAAAAAAGTTGATGTTTTGTTTGTGTTGGACTTTTTCCTCTCTCTAAAAATCACTCATAATATATCTGAAAAAGGGAACAAAAGCAAAAAGCCAAAACAGCACAATGAAAGAAAAAAACAAACAAAACAAAAAACAAACAAAACTTGGATTCGATATTTCACATTTTACACTCTTTGACTAGTGGCTCTACTTGAGATAACACATCAGATCAACAAAAGTAAAAAAAACACAAAATAATAATAATAATATAATATAATAATTAATGTTTACTGGTACAGATGAAACAAGAGGACTGGAAGAATGGAATGTTAACACGATTGCACATCTAGAACCAGAAAAGCCTGAAAGCTTTTCTGCCCTGTGGGATGGGGGTGCGTGAGCTAGCTGTTAGCCGACAGCAGGCGCTAACCCCCCCGATTTTAAAATTTTGTGTTGTTATACAGTAATTATAACCAACAGCACCAATAAAATGGATCTCCTCGCTAAGAATCAGGCACAGTTTTCACTTGCTAGCGAAGGAGGGATCCCTCCATACTACCAGGAAGTGAGGTGAGCGGTGACCTTTCACAGGTCAAGCAGCTGTAGCTCTGCCCTCTCTCACATCCACCAACGAACAGAAACATCCACAATGACAACAAAATAAAATAAAGTACACAGAAGACTTCTTGCAAAAAACCTAGAAAAAACAAAGCTAAAATTCAAAATAGAACTTGAAAAAAACATAGCCAACCAACAATAAACCAACATTATCTGTCTTTCAAGTTTTTACCTCGCGTCTCCAACCCCCCTTTTTAAAAAAAAAAAAAAACAAAACAAAAAAAACAATGCAGGAGCTGCATCAAAAACATCTAAAATCAATAAAAAAAAGGACTCTTCTTCCTCAAACCAAGGACAGAGAGAAACTTTGGGTAACTACTTGATATCATTTTCATTTCAGAAAACCAGGGAGGAAAAAAAAAGGCCGCCTTTTCATTCGTCCCATGTTCACAGTTGAGTGACGTGTGATGAGAAGGGATGGGGTTCAGTCTCAGGGGTGAGAGGAGGGCAGGAAAGAGTGATGCAAGAAAAAGGTAACAAACGTAACCCATTTCAGTAAAGGGAAGGTGGAGGGTGGAGGTAAAAGGTACAACAGGGCCCATCAAGTCTTCTTGTGAACGTTACACTTAATGCTTGTAATGTTGTTGAGGACGACTTCAGGAGGGGCGGGGCGGGGGATTCTAAAATCATCCAGAATAAAAACAAATTCTTCTTTCACACTAGTGCAAAAAAGACAACTTGTTTTTCTTTTTTTTTCTTTTTTTTTTTTTTTCTTTTTTTTTTTTTTTAATAAAACAAGCCTGTCATACTAAGGGGGGAGGTGAATATTTTTTGGAGGGGGGACTGAGGTCAGGTGAGGGGATTTTCAAAGCTCAAAAACAATCGATCTTAAATATCGGGTGGTGGAGGAGGGATTGATCGTGATCCTGCTTAATGTAAAAAATAAAAATAAAATAAAAAAACAAGGGATTTGAGGAGGGTGTAGGGAGGGGTAGGGCAGGACGTGGGCACAGCGCACAGGGTGGCGATGTCAAGATGTCCCCCTCAGGATACAGCCGCTGCCTTAGGCATGTGGCTGGAGGACAGGCGTGGCAGGGACACCTCCACAGTATCGCGCTTCCGGGGGCCTCGCTTGGCCGGTGATGCTTTGGCAGGGCTTAAGCCCAGGCAGGGCTCCCCCCCTCCTCCGCTGACGACCACTCCCCCACCACCGCCGCCACTGCTGTTCTTTAACATGGCCCGGCCACACACCTGGTTCACCAAACTGTTGATTTGCTCCTGAGCGAGGAAGGCACAGAGAAAAACATACATTAAAAATGAAAACATTTTAACAATGGACATTTTTCTTTTTTTCTTTAAATAAATCACTATCTTAGCCTTGACACAACCAAGTTCATTACATGACCACCGTCACATGGTGAATAATTTCCTTCCTGGAGCAGTGTAAACCTGGCTGATGTCTCCCCCATCTGGACAGAGCGAGAACTGAACCACATCAGAACCAAAAAGCGGCAGCTCACCTCATCGTATCGGTACATCATCTTAAGGCCTCTGCAGGACTTGTGCTTCTCCACATAGCGCAGGGCACACTCCAGACAGAAAACCACGTTGTCAGTCTCCTGAACCACCTGCGCAGACAGAGAAACCCAGACAGGGACATTTATCTTGGTCCTCCACTCCTACTGTATTATGCCACTTGCAAATTTGATACCATTGTTGTAAAATGTCGTTTTTTAATTAACATACTTTGATTTAGATACTTTTGAAATATTGACCAATAAAAAGTATAAGAAAATACCAATAGGTCCAAATAAATAGGAATGCTATTATGTATAGCAGGCAGTACAGTATATAAGCTGTATGTTATTGCAGAGCATAATGCAAAATAATACCTACAAACTAAATTCCCATGATGGATGATTTCTTGAATAAATATTTATGGCTTCCAACTTTCATGAAGGAAGCTGACAAAATCAGATTGTGTTTCTTATTGCGTAGGATGCAAGTAAAAAAAACAAATTATATCCAAACTGTCACTATAGGCCTCTAGAGAATAAGTGCTAGAATCTTCTAACCATACAGTGTTAAACTCCTGTGCTCTCTGGTCTCACCATGGACAGGTAGCAGAGATGCTGACAGATCTGGCAGCGTCTCTCTGAGGACTCCAGTGCTAGCCATTTCCCGCGGGGCTTCTTGCGTCCCTCGCCGGGCCCTAGGCCGCCATCATGCGTGCCATAGCGAGCAGAGGAGAGCAAACCTGCCTTGTAAAGTTCCTGCCGTTGGCCCATCTCTATGTTCCTGTTGGACAAAAAAAAAAAAAAGCTGCTCATTAGACCCAGAAAACCTTTGCTGCCATCATGTAAAATCTGTGCACAAACTGTATCATGATATATTAGGTTGGATGTTTTTTATTGCTCTGGGGAAAAACAGAGGGAGAGAGAGAGTGGGGCTTCCTCTGATATAAAAAGAACAGTATTTGCAGAGGATAAAATAATCCACATAAAGGAATAGATAACAAGAATATAGATTAGAAATGACAGTGCTACATTTAAACAGGTTTTAACTTGCAGATTAAATTAGAATAGTAATTGTATTGTATATTATATATGTATATCATATGCAAATGTATGTGTGCACTGCAGTATCCTACCTGAGGTCTTTGAGTAGGGCGGAGATGGTGGTGAGGAGAAGGCCGTTGTCCCTCTTTGACTCAGCTGTGGCGATCTGGTACAGTAGCTTCTCCATGGAGAAGGGTTTGGCTATACGACGACATTTCAGGTCCTGCACACAAAATCAGAACAGATTACAAATGAACTCTGATTAAATCCCCAACAGATTGTTTTTTTTTGATGCATTTCAATGTACTGTATGCTAAGTCTCAAAATCAAAAAACAGCCATTGGAGGACAGACATTTAAATGAATGAAGTGATAATGTCATTCAGCATGTTTGCAGTATAAACACAGACTCTGTACACTCAGATCAATATTTCTAAACCTCTCCAGTCCAGTTACAGTTTACATCCACGTCTGTCCAGACTCAGAATGATGAAAAGGTATCAAGAGTATTTTTGATTTGTGATAAAGGGACTTGTGAATAAAACTGATTTGTGTAACATGATTTGACTTTGAAATGCTTTTTTTGTATGTCGACTGTATTAGTGTATAATTTTATTGAGAGACACAAAATCAGATTCAGTCACATTCCGGTGTGTGTGTTCACATCCTTTTCCGATAAAGCCTTTTCTGATAGAACAAAAAGTTGTAGCCATGACAGCAGACGATGCTTGACCTTTAGCCACTGAAATCTGATCATCGTCATTTGTGCCAAATTTGAAGAAATTCCCTCAAGGCGTTCCTGAGATATTTTCATTCACACGAATGGGACAGATGGGCGGAAATGTTGAAAATGTTCCGCTCATAGCACCTCACTAAAGTACACTGTATGAATGTCATATTACCCTTGAGAGTAATCTTTACTGTGACTTTGGATACGATGGTAGTGCTGAAGGTATATGTTCTTCCATCAACATAATGCCCATGATGACAGTAAGGAACATTTTCTTCTCTTCTATTACAGCTATAATGAGGTCCAATGGTCCAAAGGCTTGCTCATGATCACAAAAGAAAAAATCTAAATACACCTCCCGGGGAGACTTACAGCTGCAATTACCCCTCACAGTTCAACACGCTGGCTGATTAGAGAATCAAGCTCTAGGTTCTAAGTTCATTTATCCATTTCAGTTTCAATCAACTCTCCATAAATCAGAGCTTTAACTGCCTCTTTCCACAGGGGGCCAGTGTTGTGAGGAATTATAAAGCAGGAGTGAAATAAAACAAACAGCCGTTATGTAAAGCCTGTAATATTAATTCAAAAGAAACCCAACACATTTTGATTTTACATATATTTATAGAAAATATTTTGCATACCTTATTGCACATTTTATTTTCCACATATACATATGTTCCTTTATTACTTTAGCATGGTACTTGGTATTGCTCTGCCCACCCCGGTTCATATGCTGACCTTTGAAGCCTGGTAACCCAGGTTCATCCAGTGCGGTGTGGCAAAGTGCACCGTCTCAGACACGCTGTAGCCACAGCACACTTTAGAGACAAAGGCACCGGGGAAGCAGACCACGAACTGGCCGCTCCGCTGGACCGTACGGTAAACCTTGATACCTTCACGGCACAGCACCTCTGGAGAGATCTGCAAGATTGAGAAGGAAGAGACAGAAAAAAAGGTTTATATTTCTGTAACTGTAACTAACGGTAAGTATTACGACTAATTGAAAATGAAATGCTGCCAACGTTATCATGAGATCAATACATGACAAATAGCAAATATATAGCAAAATATTAAAATTTGCATACACACACACACACACACACACACACAAAAATAAAACAAATGACACTGACCATGATGTTTTTCTCCAACATTTCTAGTCCTGGGGTGCCATTGGCCTGAAGCAGTGTATGGACCACCTTGTCCAGCTTAGCCTTCTCCTCAGCAGGGACAGAATACCTGTGGGATGAAGACGCACAAACAGAGAGAAAAAAAAAACTTTATTTTTCAAACTGGGTCTTCTAGTTAATTTTACATGTGTTTAGAATTTTACATGGGAATTTGAGGCAGGTTTTTTTTTTTTTCCCTGTGTGGTCATGCTCACACACAATACCAGTGATTGTGTGTGAGCAGAGAGCCCAGCGCATACTTACCAAATGCAATCAGCACCAGTGTGTAAGTAATCAATATATGGAAGGCGATTTTGGTCTCGAGACCAGCATGAGGTAGAAAAGACCATGCCAATGTTTAGCCAGGGAATGGTCACCCCTGGGGAGACAGATGGGTTTACAGAGAGAGAAAAAAAGAGCATGGGGTTATTACTAACTAGAGATTACACAGAATGAGTAGATGCCTATATATGTATCATCATGTTGATGCTAAATTTGTCTTTCTTTGAGACCACTACTGAACAGCTACAGCCTTTTTCCTGCAGAGTACGTATGTCCTTACCGGGCACAGCACCCAGATGCCTCAGAATGGATCCAGAGTTATTGGGGAGGACAGTGAGGTTCCATCCATGTCTGAGGTAAAGAGAAGAGAAATGGTCATTTTTTTTTAACAAGGATAAAGAAAATATTCTGTCCAAACATGAGTGAGTGCTGTGTGAGGTCTGTGGGCTACTTACTTTGAAAATGGCTCTGACTTTCCTGTGGGGAAACCACTGCCATGTGTACTGGTGTCCACCTTCCCACAATGCACTGCCACGTGGCTGTCTCTCTGTTCCACAATCCTCCAGTACTCTTGCTGCAAGGAGAAAAAAAAAAAGAAACATGAAAGCTGATCAGCAAGAAGAATGCATGAAACAGGGTACAGGTTTCAGGTGTTCTTTCATCTGACAACTGACATAAATTTGAAGCCGAGCCACGAGAGATCATTTTAAGTCACTGCAGTTTAATAAAGATGTTAGCACGCTAACCTCAACCTCAGCAGCCCCTGGTTCCTTGTTAAAGCACATGGTCATGGTGTTCCGGGCTATCCTGAAGAAGTTCGTCAAAGACACCGATTTCCCCTGCAACAAAGAGACATTAAACATCGTGAGTCACAGCACGATGAGAGGAGTCAGAGGGGAACAAGAAGAAACTCCAGACTCCACTCTACATATTTATGGTCTTCAGTCATGGAAAAACAACTATAGGGAAATAAAAACCGAGAGCATGAAAAAAAAAAAAAATTAGCAAAGAAAATATTCATTAATGAACTGCAACTTTACCACTGCATGCCTGTATGAGATGAAATGTAATAGTTCGCTTTATGGTCAAAAGAATACATGTACGTGCGCAGTAATGTAACAACTGTACATGTGTATTTATGTTTCTCTATAAGCCTCCACCTCTGTGCATCCTCTATAAGTCCCGGATACATTTCCCCTGGACTTGACCCTCTCTCCCATGAACACTCCTGCTACAGAGAAGCTTTGAAGGTGGCCATAAATCTGCCGGCTCCGGGCCCGAGGATGTATGGACCCTGCTGAAAGATGACCTTGCGAATTCCTCATCCTTACAGTGACAGTTTATATTTTTTTTCTTTTCTTTTTTTTTCCTGTCTTCAGTGAGTAGATGTTTCAAAAAAAAAAAAAAAAAAAAAAAAAAAAAAAAAGTGACTGACATTGTGGTTTATTATTACAATAGCTACAGAGTTGTAAAATAATGCAGTTCAATAATACAGCAGAGCAGTGACCTAGTAAGCACTGACAAGCCGTTCTTTGGGCCAGTCAGTAGCAGCACTTATCCAAGCCTTTCCTGCTGTAATTAGAGATAATTATATCCTTGACGTGCACTTTGTTCTCTTGATAGAAAAGGTGAAATCTAACCTCCTCTCGGGGGCCGCTCTTGATGAAAAATGCATACAAATCAGACTTGTAGAGAAGAGTGATGGGTCATATTTAGACAAGCCTGTCCTGTCAGCATGGTGACAGCCATTCACATGTCACTATGTTGAACGGTGCTTCTATAACTCAGACGTCTATGGACTGTACTGGGTCAAGTCTGTTGACAGTATCTCAGTTCTTCAGAGGGAGGTCATAAACAGAGATTTAGTTACCAAAGGAAGATGGAGGGGAAAAAAAAAAAAAAAATCAAATGGGATCCAGATTCAAAATGGGTGGAGTATTGTGCAGTGTGAGAGTGAATGTGAGAGAGAAAGCCAACACAGAGACAAAGTTGTCTTAATGACTGACATCATTACTGCGTCTACTCGTCAACATGCTGTGGCAAATACATGCACACAAACCGTGACACAGTCTGCGTTTTTGTGCACACGGGTATGTACGACAGGACTGGAATTCTCATATTGCGCTGTGTGTGTTTGCACATGTGCATATCTGAATGTACACAAGGAACTGATAGCCTTTGCATACATGTCTGCCTGTGGCTGGGGGAAAGAGGTGCTTGGTGTGGGGTTTGGCAAGGGGACAGCGCACGAGGGGAGTGGGTTTGGAGGGAAAGAGACGGTTGGTCGAGAGGACTGGAGGTTTGTGGAAATGGCTAAGAGCAAGGGCATGGGCTGAAGGAGAGGAGCCATGGGGAGAGGGCTGGATTAAAGGGTGGAGAGAGCGGGAGAGGGCGGGGCTTGAAGTGGGCGGGACAGGGGTGAGGGGAAGGGCTGATTTGGGGGCTGCCTTCTCTCTGACCTACATTTCAGCCAGCCAGAATCAACACAGCTGCTTGCAGGCTGGGGAGGTGGGGATGCGTCTAATGTGCGCGAGCGCGCACACACACACACACACACACACGCACACTGAAGCAAGACTATTGACCAACTTACCACACACACACACACAGAGGTGCACAGAAATATTTAAGAAACCACAAGATGTGCAAGGTACAAAAACCGCTGTCCCTCACTCTCACAAGAAGAACCAGGTCTTCACGGTGCAGCTGCACGAAAACTGCTGCATGTAACCAGGTGTGCAACCCTTTTATCTTTGCTTTTATAAACCAGAAATGATGACAGCAAACAGCATGATAATGTTACTAAGGAAACTGAATAAAGAATTTCAATAGGAATCAACATCTTTGCAGTTAAAACCACAGTAACATTGACCCTAAGAAAAACCCAGTCAAAGTGTGATGTAGCAATTTATAGCACAGCTTAGCTCCTTTTAAAGATACAGTGCTTATTTAGTCACTAATGAACTAGAACTGTGATATCAAAACACTCAAGTTTTAGTGGCGATAATATGAAAGGGGCAGAGTGTTTACACTTCACGTGTGACATCAGTCTCGATTCAGATAGAAGTGAGATCTCAGACATCTGGCTGAGCAGTAATGAGGCCTTTGAAAACTGCTCAGGCGCCATCAACAAGCCACAAAAGGTCAGGTATTAGCCAAACAAACAAATGTGGATATCTTGTGATTCTATTTAAGGCATGCCATTAATAACCTGCTGGATTGAAGGACTAAAACAAACCTGATGATACCAACACACTGAGAAACACAATCAAACAAACTACTGACAGCAGGTGGCAGGCAGACCAGTACGGAGGCATCATCCACAGATGCGCTTACACCTTGGTGCTACTGCTCGTGGAAACTTCAAAGCAAATGTTGTAATGAATAACTGACCCAGAAACAGTCGTCAACAAGAGTTAACAGTCAACAGCACTTGATGACTCGGGATTATAAAACCTCTTCTAGAAAGAAAAGAACCGGGAAAAAAAGAAAAGAATAACAAAAACAGATAGACTTACATGCCTCTTGTCTGCATGCTTCAAATGTGTGGAATGAACAGCAAATGTCTTCTCCATCCTCACCTTGTAAATACATTTGTGCTGGTCGCTGAGAACGCCCCTGTCCTCCTCCTCCTCCTGCTCTTCTCCATGCTGCCTGTCCTCTTTGCCTTGTTTTTCCTGAGCGAAGAGCCGGCGCCGGCCCGCTTTGACCTGAGCCTCCAGCTCCTTCAGATGGTGATACACTCCATTGGTGCGCTGGTGCCCTGTTCCCCCTCCCACTATCCCACCTACTAACCCATTCTTGGGCTCATAGCGTGGCAGGACCAGAGCACTAGGTGTTGAGGAGTCCAAGAGACCCTCCAGAGGGCCCCGGCGCAACTCCAGGTTCTTTTTCTCCTGCAGCACCTCGGCCTGCAGTCGGAGGCGCTCCTCGGCGCTAAGCGAGTCATAGGAGAGGATGTACTGGAGGTAAGCCTCCTGCAGCTTGGCCAGCCGGTCCTGCGCTGACTTAGGGATGCGCAGAAGGTCAGCCAGCTTGGTCCACTTCTTCAGGTCCATCACCTGCTGCATGCCGCCCATGTCATTGATGAGCTGGAAAAAACGTGACAGGTCCACTTCACAGCCACCTGTGCAGAGCAGAGGGACAAAGAAGAGGTTAGTTCAGAGAATGTGGCCACAGAGAAGTCGTCTATGGACACATGTCTAAACTAAAAAAAAAAATCAAATCAAATCAAGAACACTGCCATCTTGGAGCATCTGCTCCTGTGGCTAAATATGCCATTTCCTCTAGCCTATTTCATTTGATTTGAAACAGCCAGTTGAGCTATCAACTTTCAAAATGATCTGAAACATCGCAGCACTAAAACAGAGACACAAATTACTGCTAATGCAGAACTGATCTGCTTTGCACAGTAAAGGAAGTCATCTGGAACCAGGGCATCGTGGCTGGCTGAAGTCACTGGCTGCCTGGTCTCTCTGGCTGGCAGCCACATAGCCGTACTCACACTGGGCTAATCTGTACACAGCTGTATACAAACGCAACAAACACATGCACAACACCAACCAGTGTAAAACTAGTAAAACTAGTGTAAAACTAGTAAAATTCAATGGCAAAGTATCTGCATTCATGGGCTGCACACATACACTCATTTGAAAAGCACACACACACACACACACACACACACACACACACACACACACACACACACACACACACACACACACACCGTCTGAAGCGGGGCTGTTTAAATGTTCATAAAATGCTGATGTCATTGTGAGAAATGGAAGGTAACAAGGCAATCTGGGGGAAATATTGTTTTTGCAGCCTGTCAGGCCCCTCGCCGAGTTGTTCCACATTGTTATTGTCGTCTATAAACAGGAAGATAAAATCAGGCAGAGCGCCACTGAAGCTTTCAGAGCACCACTCATACCAATGGAAATAGCAATATTTTTCATGCTTGCTTACTGGCTGCTTTTGTCGTGACTTTATATAACCCGGACTGATTGACAAAGCAGTTAAAAACTGCCGGATACCGAGAAGGTAATTGTGCATTATCTTCTTCTGATGTGTGTCAACAAGACGGAGAGGAGGCCTTAGTTAAGAAAGGGGTTTAATTTACTCTAACTAAATTCTAAATTAACTTCAATTCCTCTGTGGCTTATTGCTTAATTAATCAATTCAAGTTATTATCACTATTCTTTTTTTTGAGTTGTGTTGTCTCAAGGGCCGTGTGTTCGTTCATATATACCCTTGTGTGTCTCACTTACCAATGACAGGCGGCTCATCCATGGTAATGCCCTGAGATTTGAGGTGCTTGCGGATGCAGGCCAGCCGCTGCACGTTGGGGCCCCAGCGCCGGCCCAGCATGTGGACCCTCTGCACCTGTGTAACAAAACGCATCTCCTCGCTCAGCTTGCACTCTGGCCGCCAGTCTGGAGGTGGGACCACACGGCACATGCCAGCCGCCTCGGCCTGTTCCCTCACCGCGTCCAAGTACACCAGGGGGTCCTGGAACTCCCGCGGCGCTGGCCGGAAGACAGGGACTTCACCCAGCGCTGCCCAGCCCTCTGGCCTGCTCCGCTGGCGCTCCCACTCCTTCTCCTGTTCACGTTCCTTCTGGCGCGTCATCTCTTTCTCACGCTCCCACTCCTTGTCACGCTCAGCGGGCCGCAGTGCTGCTGGTTTGAGCTGTCCCGGGCTGTTGGTGGAAGTAAGCAGGGAGGAGGTGGTGGAGGAGGAGGACACAGAGGTTTGTTGGGGGTCTGAGGTAGTGCTGGCACGACTGGGGTTCTGTGGGTGATTCTGGCCTGATGAGGGGGAGGAAGAGGAGGAGTTCCGACCATGAGACCTGCTCTGCTGCTGCTGTGCTTGTCGTATCAACATCAGCTTGCCGGCCGATGCCCGCTTGGGTCGCTGGTTCACCGGCTCCGTATTGGCTGCTGGTGTAGAAGGAGTTGGGGTTTGCTGAGGAGGGGGAGTAGGAGGTGGGGTAACAGGTGGAGTTTGTTTAGGAGACAAAGGTGTTTCTGATTCGTGTCCATTAGAAACTGGAGTGGTAGGGGTGGTGATTTGCGTGGCAGCTTTCTCTTGATTGGCCACCTTCTTGCTGCTGCTGCGTGTCTCCAGAGGAGTCGGCTGAAGCTTGGCCTTCTTTGCCTCAGTGCCAGTGGTTTTGGCTTTCTGCTCAACAACCCCTGTCCCCACTGAGTTGAGCACTACCTCCAGACGCCGCTTGGAGTTACGCAGTCCCTCTCGACCTGGACACTCCCCCTGGCCCTGCTGGCACTGTCTCTGCCCATCCTCCTTGGCCAGGGTGTTGTGCCGCTGCCCATTTAGCCTCCCGTTGAGGCGGGCACCGGCAGCCACATTGTGCAGCCCATTGGATAGTAGCACCTGTTTGCGGGTTTTTGCATTGCTGTGGTGGGCTGGTGCCGCTGCTTTTCCTGAGTTGGCCAGCCCATTGCTGGCTGCTGGCTGGCTGTGCTGATTGTGATTGTTCGCTGACGATGGTGCCGAGGCGGCGCTGTTGTGTTTGTTGCTGCTGCTGAGTTTGGTTTTCTTGCCCAGTTCTTTCTGTTTGGCTTTGGTGTAAGTGACGTGGCCCTTGGACACGGTGGCTGTGTACTTCTTCACAGTTTTGGACGGCAGTCGGAAGTCGCGGCTCTTTTTGGCACCACCGACAGCTTGTGCCGAGCCCGCCCGCGTCAGCCCGTTCACTTTAGAGACCTGTGACAAACAGAGAGAGCGGGAGAGAGATGGGACACATTAGATGAGCAGAATAAATCATTTTAGCACAATCATGTATTTTCAAATACAAGGGAAATGTCTTAGAAAACAGAAATCTTTGCTGGAGAGCGAATGGGGTAATATGCTAACAGAGCTTAAATCTCTGAAATAATCCATTCTGATCAGATCTCTGTTGTGCTGTGTATTAGGCAACATACATGTGAAAGTTAAAAATACTATTATACAATACAAAGAATATAATAAAAAGGTACAACAAGAAGATACATGCAGCAGTATTGGCGCACACACACTCCACAATGAAGAGGCCAAACACTCAGCTGCTAGCTCTGCAGTTAAACATTTGGCCAAAGCTATTTGTGGAAACTTACACTATTCATTAGAGAACCAATTAACTGTCTAGATTACTATACTTTCACATGCAGTTCACTTTTGTAAAACTGCAGCTCAAACTACTGTCAAACCCACATCCTGAGATAAACAACAGTTTAGAACGAGTAGGAAAAAAAAAAGAGAGAGAGGGAAAGCAGGGACGGCTCCATGGTCTCCATTAGCAGACGGCTGGACAGTGTGAGGTAGGAGGTGGGGTCATTGGGATGGAATAAAATTCCATTTGAGCACAAAAAAAAAAAACCCAGCCTTTTATTTGCTATTGGTTTTTTTAAATGCTATAATTCAATTTTTGTGCTATGAATAAAGGCTCGGCCTGTGTGTTTATGTGTGTGCATGTGAGAGAGTTGGAGACAGGGAGCAGGCGAGTGTGTATGTGTGTGTGTGTAAGTGTGTGTGTGCATGTGAAGTCTTTGAGGCCCCCAGCTGTAGATCAGAGCTTTGGTACAGTGGTGTCTGGTTCCATGGCCGGCTGGCTGGCTACAGCTGTGGGAAGAAACATGGCCACCCTCTCCCTCAGTGGACAGAGCTTTATAGCTGCTTCAGTGCACATTAAAAACCACTGTGTATTTCTGTCTGTCTTTCCATTTGTGTCTGCCTTGCAATCTGGCTTTATCTGATGTACTCTCTCTCTTTCTCTCTCTCTCTTTTCTCACCTTCACTACATTTCCATCATCATCCACCGATATTTTGCCTGTATGCATTTCCAAGAATATCCATTACTCTCTCTCCCTCCTCATCTCCATGTTTTCATGGCCCACTTTCAGTGCTGCCGGGAGTTTCTCATTCCCTCTTCCTTCTCCTTCTCTCCCTTCCTTCTGATTGGTGTGTGTGTGTGTGTGTGTGTGTGTGTGTGTGTGTGTGTGTGTGTGTGTGTGTGTGTGTGTGTGTGTGTGTGTGTGTGTGTGTGTGTGTGTGTGTTGTGTGAGAGAAGGCCTGACAGTCTTAGGAGCTCTTGTGAAGTTAAAGATCAGTATTTGGTTGCCAATATCTGAACAGGCTGAGCTGGAGGTCATGTTTCTGTAGTTGTTTGAACATAAAGTGGGTATTTTTTTTTCCTTCTGTATTTGGTCACATTTCATTTTGAAAATATTCTAAAGCAAAAGCAAATTTGATTTTGTTCTTTGCCTTTCTTCTCAAATTTCTAAATCAACCAGCCAAAGTAGGTAAAGCAAAAGCCATCACAGAGCTCTGGTCGTCATTAGAAAACATACAAATTTGCATCGATAATCAGGTATCGCTGCTGTCGATCTACAGTATCTGTGAGACGCTCTGTACAGACCAGCTGACGCAAGAAATGAGGGAGGATGGGAGAGATGGAGTTATTAATCACAGTCAGGGCGCCACAAGATGGAGGTGACAGCCGGCCCATTGACAGGTTTGCCTTTGAAGGGCTCTTGTGTCACACTTGTGTGTGTGTGTGTATGTGTGTGTATTGTGTGCATGTGCATGTATTGTATTGTGTTCGTCTCAGGTGGCGGGGGGCCAACACAAAGACCAAGCCATTAAAAGATAAGGGGGACTGAAACCTAACCCTGTCTCCGTCAATCACTCCCCCCCAACACACACACACACACACACACACACACACACACACACACACACACACACACACGTCCTCCCAATATAAAAACAAGGGGTGACAAGGTGAGAGTGAGGAAAGACGGCACATTTGCAAAGGGGTGAAAGAGAGATTGAAAGAGAATGCAGCAACAATGTGAGTGGATAAAGGAAGGCTGCACAGCGAGCGCTGCCAAATAAGTACAACTGTTTCCATGTGATACATACTGTATTTTGTGTCATACATAATGTTCACTTGTCAGAAACAAGCTGCACAGTCGCTGTGATTTTATCTATTTAAGAATTAATTATCAATCTGACACATAAGCTCACAACTGATTTATTTCTTATTGTTTCATTTGCCAAATCAATACAAAGTCCAATGTGTGTGTTTATTTAGCGTTCCACTGATGCTGAGAGAGTAACTAACTGCTAAAGCAGCAGTTGTCCAGACAGCTGCTATATTTATCCAGCCACAGTTTGCTGACAAAGCGTCGAGTCCAAGAGACACACTGTCATGACCACTTCCTGCCAGAGGAGGGCTCAGCGGACCGGCGGTCTTTAGGGGGGCTCGGTGAGTCTCCCTCACTTTGCTCCCTTTAATTATTTGGTCTGGTAGAAAAGGAGGATGGCAAGAGAGTGATGATGAGAGGAGGAGAGAAGAGACAGAATAAAGAGGCAGGTGAGGAGGAGCAAGTGGTTGGAAGGAAGGGAGAAAAAAGAAAGAAAGAAAGGAGGAAAGAAAAAGGAGGAATAGTTAAAAGGATAGTTCATTCCTGCTAACAGCCACTGACAGAGAATTCGAACAGAAATGAAAAGGACAATGAACAGAACAAGAAAGACAATGAAGCCAAAGTGAAAAAATAGAACACACACACACAGACACACACAGGCAGGCAGCCGGAGACTGTTCTGGAGTGGATTTCGGTCGCACGTGAGCGGGGAAAGGGGAGGGAGAGGGAGGTGGGTCTAGATGACATCATGTGTTGCTATAGCCCAGCTGAGGCCTGGCAGGAAGATTTTTTAACAGGCAACATCTGCAGGAGCCGACCCTGAGAAGAAGGAGGAGGGGCGGGGGGGCGAGAAGAGAAAGACAGCGAGAGAAGGCCAGCCAGAGGATAGAAGAAGAAGAAGAAGAAGTAGAAGAAGACAGGAGAACATTTAACCCTTCAAAAACCCTGCTGACTGACAAAAGATGTGGGCAAAGATACACATGTGGTATTACTCTGTTTACTACATTGTTATGATGATAAAATTAAATACACTTCTCTAAACCTAAAACCACAGATGCTCTTTGTTAGGATGTACTGAGAGGTTGTGTTGCTCCAGCGGAGCTACCAATGGTTCTCACAAGCACCTCCTTAAAAGTGTAACTACACATCAGGACAACAGAGATACCACGTGGGTGCTCGCTGTGATTGGTCAGCTTTGGCTTCTTTGTTCAGGATGTCTCTGATGCTGGCAGAGAATACTGACAGTGAAGAGAAAGAGATGAAAGCTGAAAAAAATGACCAAAAGCGCTAGCAGAGTAAACCCTCTCTTCACCGTGACCATGACTGCCTCTATCACCGGGAGCAAGAAATACTGTAACCACCATAAGTTTGGGTCTATAATGAATGCATTCCACAGTTTGATAGCATCCAGCGCATCCATCATGTGTTACTGTGGTGCGATGACAATCAGTGGGTTAAATCCTATGCTGAACTATAAATCAATTCCTACGCCACACTCATTTACGGCGCGACTGGCGGAACACCTCGACCACGAGACATAAATCCGGCTTAAGCCCTCTTTCCCCTCTGCTGTCTTATTAGGGGCGCAATGTGATGCAGCCCTGGGCAGGTTGACTTTTAAGCAGCTAGAGAAAGGTCACTATAGCCTAGCACTAATAAAAAAAAACCCTTATATGAACTTACAGGGAGAGATCTACATACAGTAGCAAAGCTGTCATCTGTTGTAAGTTTGTACATGTTGTAATAGCACAGGGGAGGTTAATTGATGATGTCTGAGGACAAACAACTAAAGAAGAAAGTGCAGAGTCCTTTTCAAATGATGCCGAGTCGGCTAAATGGTTTGGCCCTGCACACCCCACCTGCGCTTGCCGCTGCGTGCAGCTGCTTTGCTGACATCCCCACTTTTGTTATTTAATTAAAATGGCTAGAATCATATTGTTTTATAAAAAGGTCCTGTTACGGCACATGTATTTTGTTGATACAAGCCACTATTAAATTAGGGAGAGCTGAATCACAGTGAATTGAATTATGATAATGCCTTTACCCTTCGGTTTTACACACAGAACTCGTAGTTCGTTTTACGGCTACATAATCACTTAACCTTTTATATGGCTTAGCCTGTATTTTCACAGTTGGTCGTGTGTATAAGTGTGTGTGTGTGTGTGTGTGTGTGTGCGCGCTCGTCTTGAACACACATGGTTAACACACATACTGTTCATGCTAATTGGACGGAGAGCAAGAGAAAAAAAAAAAAAAAAAGTAGCACTAATCTGCTGTTCCAAATGATTGGAGCCATGTTTGTCAAGGGCAAGATCCGTCTGTTTGACACCGGAACAGAGAGGAGCGACAGAGAGAGAGAGAGAGAGTGGAGCATGAAGAGAAATGAATGAGACCTGACGGAGAGCTGGAGATATAAGAGAGAAGAAATGGTGAATGAGAGTGCAGGGAAAACAAAATGCACAGTATGAGAGGAGTCAAAAGAACAACAGGGTGCTCACACAGT